TTACACCTGCACTCATCTCGCAACAATAACCCCCCCATCGAACTAATCAAACAGCGTGAACTTTTTAGTATCAAACCAACGCCTCCTCCCCCTTTTCCCTCCTTTTTTTTTCCTTCCCTCGTTCCGCGGACAAACCAAAAGAAAGAAAAAAAACTCCCCGGAAACGGAAACGGGAATAGAAACGGCAATGGAACCGGGGAAAAAAAAACCCCCCCCTCGGTCGAGGAAAATCATAACTGGGGGGTTTTTTTTTCTTGTTTTTTCTTTTTCCCCCATTGTTGATTTTTATCTTTATTTTCTGTTTCTCTTCTCTTTCTCTTTTCAATCTCTCTCTCTCTCTCTCTCCGTTTTCGGCGAATATATATATAAAAAGAGAGAGGAAGAGGAAGAGAAAAAGAGAAAGAGGGGGGGGGGAGAGAGAGAGGAGGAAGGGGAAAATTAAAGACGAACGTTCCGGTTAGGAGTTGAACAAAAAAAAACTCTAAATTAAAACTAAACGGCTGGAAAGAGGAGGAAGAAGAAGGAGAAGGAGGAGGAGGAGGGTATTATTGACTAATGCGTGAAATTGGGTTGACAAAAGAGATGGAGAGAGAGAATTTATTTACACACACAAAAAAAAAGAATTGTTTCAAACTTCGACATCTGGTCTTTGTATCTTTCTCTCTCTCTCTCTCTCTCTCTCGCTTTGCATAATCAACGGGTGAATGTTGTGTGATTTTTCTTATTCTCAACACGTTCAAACCGAATGGACATTGGGGATGGTGGGGTACCCAAACACACAGCATGTGGAACAAGAGTACTCAGAGAGGGGGAGGGAAAGAAAAGAAAAGAAAGAAGCGATATAATCGCGATTTCTATAGCAGTGAATAGAGAGAAAGACGACGAAACAAGACGCGAATCTCAATGCATCTAACAATAACCATGATGATGATGATTACCATAGTCCTGAATCTCTCTCTATGTATGTGAATGTGTGTGTGTGTGTGTGTGTCCTGATAACACGAAGAACCGAAACCCCCCAAATCCCCAACCCATTCCAAATCAAACCCCAAGTGTACAAACAAGAAAAAGTGAAAAATGAGAAAGAGAGGAAGAAAGAAACAACGCCAAAAACGCTTACGCTTTACCCCCGACCAAAAAAAATACTCGACTACAAAAAGGGGGAACCCCTTTTTGAGAGAATTGGTTGATACTTGTACAACAAGAAGCCTGATCCCAAACGCTAACAAAATGCACACACCAAGAAAGGAAAAAAAAAGAGTTGGTTAAATAAACGAAAGAAAACACCATTAACGAGGCATCTGTTCAGAGAGTAGGCGCTCTCTTGAGACCCTGACAATATCTCACATACAAGGCGTCGATAAAATGCGAGTGACGAATCCCCGGCGGACGCGCTGTCTGAAACGCATCAAGCGCATCTTCGACCTTGTAACCCAAACGCTCAATGAGGTACGAGACGAGGAAGAAGCCTGTGCGGTTGAATCCGTAGTGGCAATGGACGCCAATGAGACCGGGTCGGTGTTCCGCGCGGATTCTATCGACGAGATCGAAGAACTCTTTAACCTCGGCGGGTTGTGGAGGCTGCTTGGATACGGTGGGGAATTTGTAGTAGGGGATGCCGCCTTCTTCTAGGCCTTTGGGGTCGTAGACGGGGTTGTCGTGTGAGATGTCGATGACGGCGCAGAGCTTGCCGGCCCACTTCTTCGTGAGCACCTTGGGTGTGTGCTCCTCGTCGACTTCTCGGAGCGTCTTCATTGCCCGAAAGACGTTGGCAATGGGTGCAGATACTGGTTGCACTACCTTCCACTTTTCGAGATTCTTGACATCCCATTTGCCTTCGGTCGATAGGTAGCTAAGTTGCCAAGCCAATGATAGACGAGGGTCAATGTAGTCAGCAAAGAAAGTACCGATAAGTCCGGCTATGATACGCGAGGTAGATGGAGCAAAGAGCAGAGAGTGAGCTGCTGGTTTGGGCATGATTGCTGTCTTAACAACAAGCTTGCGTGGGTGAGGTGACGGCGTGGTTGACGATGACGTCGAAGTCCCCGAGAGAAGTGGACCGTCTGCAGTGGTCATACTTCCCTCCCTGGTACCATCCTCTGTAGACATAAGACTGCCATCAGCGGTGGATACGGAAGTTGATTCAATTGTCTTGTTGTCTTCTTCGCATCGTGGCAGATCCTTCGCGTCAATACCCGAGTCTTTGTGCTCTTTCGTAGGCACCTCTGACATGATAGAGGCAGGAACAAATGGTGCGGCTGCGATAGGTAGACTAGCCCTCTCGCTTGGCGGCTCAATGGCACTAACATCTCTTCCCAAAAATTCAACGACGCGTTTAACATTTGAGGCTGGCGTCACACCATCCATCTCACCAGCAGTGAGGAACACGGGCATGTTTAGACCACTCCAGACTTGTCTTCCGGGAAGGCCGCCCCTTGGTGAGCCATCGGAGTAATCAGGACACATGCCTCGTGCCATCCTCTGCCAGACTGCACTTCGACTTTGTTGGTTGAAGAGCAGTTGCATTCTTCTCGTCTCCACGTCTGCATCTGCTCCTGTCATGCGTAAAACACTCTTGCTGCCAACACCCCCTCTCCGATCCCAGCGTCTAGCCAGGTCAAACAGGAATGGTGGTACTGACGAGAGGTACTGCAGTTGTTTGACTTGTTTCTCAGTGGGAGGGTCGGCTTGTGGACATATAGCAATCAAGCCACTGACGTACTGCGACAGAAGATGGGCATATGGAGAGGTAGGAGAGGCTAGGAGGGCGGCTAGCGAGCAGCCCATGCTATGGCCGACCAGAACGATAGGCTGCCTTTCGTCGGAAGCACGGTGCTCTTCAATAACGACTGCAAGAAGACGGACAAGGGCTTCGGTCGTGTAGGCTTCCCATGCTTTTGGTTCAAAAGTCGATGCACCGCATCCAGGAAGGTCTAGAGCCAAGCATGGTGCTAGATTGGAAAGACTGATAAGGATAGGGCTGAATTGGGCAATAGATCCGCCAAGGCCATGGATGAAGACCAGAAGGGGAATCGAGCAAGGGTCCTTTGGTAGCTTGCTTTCTTGGTGGTGTGGACGATAAAAGGTACGCAGTTGAGGATAAGTGAAGCCAGTAGAGGGCACGGTGTAGGACTTGGCTGCAGAGTACTTCTTTATGAGTGCCGGGTCGGTGATGGCAGCATCATCTATGGAGCGTTAGCGCGACAAGCATAGTACTTGGACATGTGCATTAGCTGGGCCACGTGATGGAATGGACGGGTCGTTAATCTGACAAAACCAACGTACCGGTTGCGGCCTCGGATGCGTGCTGAGTTCCCCCAGGCCTGGTCTTGCCCCCCCTTTTCCTCCGGATCCAAAGTGCAGACGCGACTCCACACAGCGCTGTCAACTCAACCATGCCCGCAGGAGTCAAAGACCAATTGCCGTGGCGGAGTACGAAGGGAGTGAGCGGGTTGAGGAAACGGTAGACAGACTTGTTTATATCCGCGGCACTCCAGGGGACCAGGTGGGAGTCGGTCTGTGTCACTTGATGGCTGGGCGAGCCTGCACGAGTGGTCTTCAGGAGTGACAGCAGAGCCTGTGGAAGACGCAACGTGCCATTCTGGGCCGTGCAAGGACGCGAATGAGGCTCCATAGACTTTGGCGTGGAACGACGGTGGATGTATATCCAACGGGCCGTGGGAGTGCTGGCGTGCAGCAAGGTGACGGGCGATCTGGGGCCAGCCAATGGAATCGGATAGAAGGACTCGTGCCCCAACTGCTGGCGGGAACGAGCCGGTGCCTGGAAAGTTTGGTACGGGGGAGAGGCGGGCACGTTGGACGAACAACAAATACAGGGCTAGCAATGCCTCGTCATCAGCAGCTGGACGAATTGTGCGATGTGGATGGGCATCCTGTCCAAAAGGAATTACGCGAGATGGAGTCGTGGGCGGGCGATGACGAGGCTGGGATGGAACTTGCGAGATGGCGTGTCTGCTTAGGGCTGGCAGCGACCAGAGATGGCTTGTTGATGGGCGGTGATGGTAGTAGCCGTGGTGTTGTGGTGGTGGTGATTTCCTCGACAGCCGAATTTTGGTGGTTGCTGTGACTCTGGCGAGCAACGGGCAAAATGACGTTGGCGGTTGGGTGGGCGCTCCTGCCACTCGCAGGCCGGATGCGGGAGCGACGCCTCTGCCTTGCACTTGCATCGTGCAACTTGGCAGGGCTGACTGGACGCCACCACCCTCAGCCCTATCACAGCTGGCCTCTTGCTGTTCACCATCTGCGTCTTCTTTATCATCACCTTCTTCTTCCTTTTCCTCCTCCTCCTATCAACCCCCCACAGACTGCTCTTCCTGTCCGACGCTCCCTCCACTCGCCAGGTCCATCGTGACGTCACCACAGCTCCTCCCCCACGCCCTCAAGCCATCTGTCCTGACAGGTTTTTTTTCGCTCCCCGATGAGGACCAGGTAGAGTATGTAGGTCGACCCATCTCGATTCGCACAGGCGCGCGTTGGATTTACCCATTGACTCTAGCGGATACCGAGGGAAGATGCCGACACGGTATTCATCCTGGGTCACGTCCCACTTTTGATGCGACATGGATACTACACCTACGTAGCAGAGGATTCAGAAACTCCGCACTTGGTCTACATACGCACTATTATCTTAGTGTATCTACATATACTTTACCCCAAGTGTGCCTGTCAATGCCATGGCTAGCCGAGCCGCAAAAGCGGTGACTGGCCCCGGCCTTCCAGAAGACAGGTAGCATTTCGCCGTTGAAAGCGCCGCACTCTGGCGGTGGGCCAGCACATGTCGCGCCCACTGCCCAGGCGCCAGGTCACGCTGCAAATGCAAGTCCGATGCGGCGCACTTCGGGACTTGATACCGCGGAGGAAATCTTTCACGCTACCATCCCAACGCCAGCGCGACCATGGGTCCGCTAGCATTCTGCCTGACCCAATCGCCATAGTTCGGCTTCATCTCGTCCGGTCGCATTGGCTGCTGCTTACTGTCCATGGACGACACACAACGCGTAGCCTTCCGGCCCTGGACTGGCACTTGTCATGCTCCACGATACCCCTCCTCCGCGACGGTTTGGGCCCCAGACGACACTGATAGAGGCGTGACCACGGCCCACATATACGTCGACGCGAGTACCTTAGACAGCCCTGACCATGTTAGACTGTGCAAGTGCCCCTGTTCCGGTAGTACCTGGGTACACGCGGTATCGATTAGCCATCCTCACTATCTCGTTCCCGCAATACCACACCATTTTCCTTTCTGTCAATCTTCCCTCTCGCCCTGATTTCCTTTTTCGCCTACCCGTTCCATTGCCGTACCTGCCATAGACTCCCTTTTTGGCTTTTTGGCTGCCTCAAAATGGATCCCAAGAACCTTCAGAAGCAACGGGAGCCAGAGGAGCCGCGCTTTCTCAGTTTTCCACATCTTCCAGACGATGCGAAAAATGAAAATGGCCAACCAGCACTCAACAAGTACTCGTCCACGCTCACCACGGGCCATAACTTCCCTGGGGCACAGGTTCGCTACCATTGCCATTTGAATTGCATCAGTAGTTGACATGGTCCAAATAATAGGCCATGCTCTATGCCGCCGGGGTACCCTCACGAGAAGCAATGAAGACACAACCTCATGTCGGTATAGCATCTGTGTGGTGGGAAGGCAATCCATGCAAGTTAGTTTTGACCCTCGCGCACAAGAATATTTTGGCCACAAACTGACAATGTCACAGCATGCACTGTAAGTTCCTCAATCTAGCCCACGCGTAGCGAGACCATTAGGGTGCAGCAGTCAATCGTGCGCGCATAATCCACTGACATTCTACAGTGCTGGACCTGGGAAAGGAGATTAAGAAGCATGTTCAAAACGATAATATGCTTGCGTGGCAGTACAATACCATCGGTGTCTCGGATGGCATCACAATGGGTGGTGAAGGTACCATGACTCCTCTACATCTGGCGAACTTTGGATTGATCTCGACTAGGGATGCGCTTCTCTCTCCAAACCCGTGAAATAATAGCCGATAGCATTGAGACCGTTACATGTGCTCAGCACCACGATGCCTGCATAGCGATTCCAGGTTGCGACAAGAATATGCCTGGAGTCATTATGGCTTTCGCAAGACACAACCGTCCGTCGCTCATGGTTTATGGCGGTTCCATAATGCCAGGCTACTCAGAGACACTCAAGAAGCCCATCAACATCTCCACCTGCTATGAAAGCCACGGCGCATACATATACAAAAACCTGAAGAGCGCGAGCGATGGTAAATTCTCACCAGATGAGATCATGGAAGATATTGAGAGAAATGCATGCCCTGGTGCAGGCGCTTGTGGTGGCATGTACACGGCAAATACTATGTCCACATCGATTGAAGGTACAACAGGCTCACATCTGCCATTACGACACACTAACAAATCACAGCAATGGGCCTTACTCTACCCAACTCGTCCACCACGCCTGCGACCTCTCCTGCCAAGATGCGCGAATGCGCCAAAGCTGCTGCTGCCATTCGTGTGTGCATGGAAAAGAACATTACACCTCGCAAACTTCTCACAAAGGCATCTTTCGAAAATGCCCTTGTCATGATGATGGTGCTGGGTGGTTCCACAAATGCCGTCCTACATCTTCTCGCCATGGCCGGCACAGCGGGCGTTCCTTTGACTCTCGACGATTTCCAACGTGTCTCAAACAAGATTCCCTTCCTCGCTGATCTGGCACCCAGTGGTCGCTACATGGCAGCCGATCTATTTGAGATTGGCGGCATGCCGTCCGTTATGAAATTGCTCGTTGCAGCCAAACTACTCGATGGTTCCATTCTCACCGTGACCGGAAAGACACTCGCAGAAAATATCGAAGGATACCCATCTCTGCCCCAAGATCAAACCCTCATTCGCCCCCTAAGCAACCCAATCAAACCCACTGGCCACATCGAAATCCTCCGCGGTAACCTCGCACCCTCTGGCGCAGTAGCAAAGATCACAGGAAAAGAAGGCCTAAAGTTTACCGGCAAAGCCATTGTCTTCAACAAAGAGCACGAGCTAGATAGCGCGCTCAACCAAGGCCAGATTCCACATGGCGAGAACGTTGTAGTTGTAGTCCGCTATGAAGGACCCAAAGGCGGCCCTGGAATGCCCGAACAACTCAAAGCCTCCGCTGCCATCATGGGAGCCAAGCTGACCAATGTCGCCTTGATCACAGACGGCAGATATTCTGGCGCGTCTCATGGCTTCATCGTGGGTCACATCTGTCCCGAGGCGGCTGTAGGCGGTCCCATTGCGGTGGTGCAGAATGGCGACATAATTACGATTGATGCGGAGAAGAACAGGATAGATATGGATGTCAGCGATGAGGAGATTGAGGAGAGGCTGAAGGCGTGGGTGCCGCCTAGCATGCCAGTTACGAGGGGTGTGCTGGCCAAGTATGCTAGGCTGGTGGGCGATGCTAGTCACGGCGCCATGACTGACCTTTTCTAAAGCATTGTCAGTCATGGTCGCGTTTTGTACCCGTAGAAATTTCATACATTAAAAACATTAATGCAATTCCGTTTTCTGTATGAATCGAACTATGAAAAGACGCAGAAAAAAAGTTGCAGTTGTTGAGCGATGAAAACAATTGGCAAAGATATCGTCGTCATAATCATTTCACGGCGAATCGAATAGAGAGAGAGAGAGAGCACCAGACAAGAGTCAAGGGGTATCATGTTGCTTTTCAGGCCCAAGCCCAGTGTCATTGGTTATCCTAGGCTAAAAGCAGGCCCAGCGAAGTCATGTCTTCAACGCCATAAGCCGTAAAACCGTGTAGATCCGTAACCGCCCCGCAATCAAATGCTTTGAACAGCCGTTGTTTTTTGCCCGCGCATCATAATCCTGTGCGAAACATTCTACTCGTCATCCTCCTCCTCGGCCTCGAGGGTGGTCTGCGCAATACGGTCCAAATCACGCTGGCCAGACTGTGTGATGCGGCGGCCACCCTTGTCCTCGTCCTGCTCGAGAACACCAATCTTCTCAAGAGCCTGCATGACCTTGCGGTCAACGGAGCCGGAGGCGTCGACGTGGTGGGAAGGGCGGGAGCCGCGGTTCTTGGTGGATCCGTGGACCTTGCGGAGGCGGCCTACACCGACAGTCTTGCGCTGTTCAGTTTGTTAGTACTGTGCGACTCTTCTTCTCAATTCGTGTGTGCGAGGGGTTTCGCGTACCATGTAGATGTGGCGGGCAATGGCAGCGGCGCGGACGTAGAACCAGTCGATGTCCTGGGGAGGGAGCTCATTGGAGTCTGCACAATGTTAGACGACGGTTTGCGCGAATGAGAAATTTCCTTCTTTTCTCAGGATCTCGGATTTATACGTACGGCTCGTCTTGACAGTGTCAACCCAGCCTGTAGATAAGAGTCAGCGAACTGAGGTTTATCCCCCATTTACGGGATTCAGGCTTTTCATCCTTCACCCGCTGGATAGAGACGAACCTGGACTGCGAAAAAAAGTTAGCGCTTTGGTCCTCTCTCTGTACTTATTTGGGAAAAAGAGGCTTACATGGGGAGCTTTCCCTGACGCTTCAAGAAAGCGGCGTACGCCTTCACGAAAGTGTGAGACTCAATGTCCTTGACGGTAACACCACCCATTTTGTCGGTATTGGAGAAGAGATTGTCGGTTTGGGGGGAGAGGAGGCGTTCGGGCTTGACGGTGGTTGCTGCAAATGTCAATGACTACCGCGATGCTCAATTTGCGCCTTCGGTGGTCTCGCTTAGGAAGAATGGTCGGCCCGGCGCTAGTGGGTGGGTGGGGGCGTGTTGGATCGTCTGAACTATTCCGAGGTTCCAGGCCTGCCCCAACGTTACTATCATTGGCTCCGCGTATCGATTCCAAACAAAGATTGAGCATTGTCCATCTCACGAAACTGCATGCACAAGCATCGCATGATACGAAAGAGCGTAAAAGCGTAAGATTGCAATACGCGTAGCCTTCGTGTCAGCTTAACTCGGGGTTCATATATGTTATAGAAGACAGTTACTATTGCTCCTTCGGAAATTACAGTTGTGTCGAATGTTCAGTTCAAAGCTCTTAACAATCCATGTCATCGTTCTTGTTGCTTACTATGTTTTCCATAAGTTGCTCGGGCAGTATGTAGGGAGTGGGTCGCCCATGTTGCTTCGTGAACCCAGAATATCGTATACATGTATGCATTTGGAAATTCAAGTATAATAGAAGACAATGACTCTACAAAGATAGCCTAGGGCAAGTTTTGGGAACTCACTATGAATTCACATTACTAGGATTTATGATACGACCGTTATATTTTATCATTATGTAGTCTTATGGTACCCGTAATGGTGTGCAATTATGGTAGGGATCCAAAATATAACGAAGAATGTACATAGAATACTCACAGCACGCCACACAATCACCACTTGCTGATATCAACAACGGTAACGGTGATTGAGTTGGTGGTGCTAGGTGGCAGCTGTCCTCCGCCCATAAGCAACAACTTGGTGGGGTCATTGAGGACGCGAAGGTGCCTTGTGTAAGAGTTCGCCTCGGGAGTGTCAATCTTGATCCAGTTGCCCTGTCCAAGACCCCTGTTGATGAAAACCTGCGAACCGCTGTGTGCGCTCGCAATAATCGTGCCATTTGCACCACCGACCGAACTCCAGACTACGTACGGCGATCCAGTAGGAATAGTGCCGTCAGTGGCCTTGAGGCTGATGCCTTGGGCTTGGCCGAACTTTTCGGGGTCGGACACAATCTTGTAGTAGACGGGGAACTGGTAGGAGTTGGGGATAGCAGGACCACCGCCGTATTCGTAAGTCATGATAAACTGTCCGTTTGGCAGCTTGGCGACGGTGGGCATGCCTGGGCGGTCGGTGTACTTGGAGTATGCGACATCATTGACAACTGGGCCCCATGTCTTTAGGTCCGTAGTGGTCTGGTGGACCATCTTCTGGCCGTAGGTGGCGTTCTCGCGCTGGTCCGAGTAGTAGCAGATCAACTTCTTGTTGTGCAACATCAGGAAAGGCTCCCAGACAGGTGTCAAGCCGTTGTTAGGACGAGCTTCACCACCGGCTGCAATATGAGAGACGAAAGTCCAGGTCAGTCCAGAGTCTCGAGATGCGTAAAGTTCAATATGGGTGCTGGAAAGGTCCGTGGGGATGGCCGAGCCTGAAACAAGAACTGTTCCGGCCGGGAAGCCGCCAATGCTCTCAGGTAAGACGTAGATGAAAGGCTGGTACCGCAAACCATAGCCATACTGGGTATCCTGGACGCGCGAGATTTCTCTCCATGTAAGGCCGCCATCAGATGACTTGAAGATGGGAAAGTACACCTTTGGTGGCTCGGGGGAATAGTTCTCCCAGGTTGCGAGCAGGGAGCCATCGGCAAGCTGTGCACTGCGGGCATAGAGAACACTTGGATCAGTCCAGCCAGCATTCCTCGGAGGGGTGAAGATAACATTGCGAGAGAAGGTGGGTTGTGTGGTCTGGCGTTTAGGAAGCGCAGAGGCAGTGGTAGAGACCACGCCGATCAACGACAGGAAAAGAGTTGAGAGACGCATCTTGACGGCTTGAGCTCTTGCAAGATGTCCAGAAATCGAGCAGGAATACACAAAGCTATATAAAGCATTGCCAATGCCTACTTGTTACAATAATAACGGCCGTTCTTGGTGAAAACATCCGCTTTGGGCTGGCTATGTTCCTGGCGCTTGAACAGGCCAAAAGCACGGAACATGCCTATTAACGTCATGATCACCCTAGGATACATGATGCATATTCTTGACTCGCGTCCATCTCGCGTTTCCCAATGGCGGGGAATCTCGAGGCCGCACGACGGAGAAATGGTAGACAGGAGGGATCATCCGTTATTGCGGGGAAGCCGGCGGTTTATAGACCGAGCCATGTCAGTTTGGGTGTTCAAGTGAGCAAATAATCATGTCGGAAGCGTGCCGAGGTGCGGAAGAGAAGCCGTCTACGGACTAGGCGAGCAGACCACCAAGCGCACATGATCGAGCAATTGCAGACTCCGTTTAGCCAAGTCCTTGGTGCCTGGAATAACTAAAGTTATTATGCCGAAGAGCTCGTGAAAAGTAGGTTACATGAGGGTAACAAGGTTTAGACCATGGCGTATGGTATTGTTGTTGGTAGTATTGTTGTGTTGGCGAGGGCGAGGGTGGGAAGGAGCGACATGACTGCCTGTCTACCATTCTGTCAGCCACGAAACGTATCTCAGCCTCACCTCGGTCTTTTTCACAGTTCCGTTACTTGCGCATAGTCTCTACCGGTGACCCATTCTATCTCACATTCAGCTTGATATCGTCATGAGCGCCTCCACCTTGTCCACGGCTTTTCGCTGCTCGCAATTCAGCCGGCCACGGCAAAACGGGGTCGCACAACAAGGAACTCACTCATGTGCCAAGTTTGCAACGCCTGTACAATGGCGAAACCAGGAAAGCTAATAAACATGTTCAAAAGCACGAGGATTTTTGACGTGGAAGGTGCGCTGTATTCAATAGGCTCCTCTCTTGTGGAAATCTCCAATCAGCCTTGCAACACAGCAGCCTTGTCCGTCACACTGCAGGAGGTGGTGGCAGTGCACGAACGGCCGCAGCAGCTGCCTGTGGCCTTCTCACCATCGACCCGTTTGTAGTGCTCACCGGTCAAAAATGTGCATACTTCGCCCTTCTCTGTGCCTCTCAGGCTTCTGTTCCTGTTTTCCACTGGGAATGCTATGCCAACATGGTAAGTCCACTTCTCGACTACGCGCTAATAAAATGGCTTCTTGTTGCCGTTGCAAGGCTGGCAAACAGCAGTTCATGTAAGACCGTTTGATGGCTGACAGCGCGTTGCGCCAGGCTTCCACAATAGCCTCCCCGGTCCCACTGCGCTTCAACCAGTCTCCACGAACGACCAATGAACGCGAGGCTGTCGACCCAGGACGCGATACTCCTCTTCCACAGTATGAGAAGACGCAGTCGGTGCCAGTTACTTTGAAACTCCAGGAAGATGCCCAAAATCCAGGCCGGTTTCAGCTTGTATTGGACATTGGTGCGAAGCTGCAATCACCAGATGGATTGCCCTTGAATACATTGTTCAACCTTCCAAATACGATCAATAGCGCTACCAAGGGTGACGAAAATTCTAGTCGAGATACATCCAGTCCACCTACGACACCACTTTCGGAGAAGCAGGGCTGGGCCGATTTAGATCATGTGCCCCCTGAATTTCTCAACAAAGTTGTACCAGATTGGAATGTATCGTTTTCTCGGAGTGATTCGACAGTATCCACACAGACAAAGCGTCTTGCCGAGATCAAAGCCAAGATCAAGAAGAAGGGAAAGGGCTACGTAGTTCGGCTCTTGAAAGGATCCGCCACAGACTCGAACGAGATTGCTGAAGTAGACTTGGGTTCAGATGCCACCAGATCCCGAGCAAACATCTCTGAGCTTGACTCCGCAATTCTGCCAGCCGAACTTCACTCGGTACCGTTCTCTGTGCCATCAAATTCTATAAGTCCTGTCGATGGAGGCCCGATATGCGAAATCGGTACTTCAAATGAAGATGGCATCAGGCGGCCGCAAGATCCCATTGCTCCTGGACCTGATTCAAATAGTGAAACACATGCGAGGCTATTGGAAGGGAGTCGGTTAGTACAAATCTCAACCACCGAAGAAGGAATGAGCGATGCGGAAACCCTGATATCCGACCTTCGCCCAATCGATCGGCATGTGGACGGGGAACAAACCTTTGGCGAGTCCTTGCGTCAAAGTGACTTCTTGACTCCAATCCGATCAGGTTCAGTATCTAGCATTGTGAAAACACCTACCCGGGGCTTATCGCTTATTGGGCCAGTCAGGAAAAGGGTCGAGAAGAAGGCTCGTCCCCGTATAAACTGCCGAACCGCAAACATGAATCTGAAACGATCGGATGCTCACAAATCTATCAAGAGTCGTTCTAATTCAACTACCATTGAAACCGAAGATTGGTTTGATGAATTTGGAACGAATTCGACTAACATGCGGCAATGTCAGCGTCTGTCACCTCGTAAGTCTAAGGATTCTGACCGAAATTTCCAAGATCATGGGACATGGCAAAATTCAATACGACATACCGGAAGGATGAGACCTCGAAACGCTCGTCATTCATCCGTAGATGATCTCCAAGTACCCGCGAAGTCCAAGTATGGATTGCGGTTGCAAACCAACGTACCCAAAACAAGATCCGCTCACGTATCCCCAGTAACTCAGCGGAAAGGGCCACCGAACGTGCGGAAACAAAAATCCTCGTCGAATTCGCCAGGTGGGGTGTACGATGATGATGTAGCATCTTCACCTGAATTGCAAGAAGCGAGCCATTCAGAGGTGCTCAGAGAGGCTTTGAGGGCTTTGAGTGATATTGTTTCGGACCCAAGCAACGGCAATCAAGGCATTGATGATACGCAAGACCCTGCTGTGCACCGCCTTGCTGAGCCGGTAAATAAAGATTGTATTGGTGATATAGTGTTGCCCTCGGAAACCGAGATCAGGTCGGCACCTAGTGGAGTGCGCAACCCAGCATTGGTGTACTGGGCCCTCGCATTTGGTGCGTTATCAGACAAGGTATACGAAGGATTCAAAGTACTTCGAGATGTTGTCGGTCCTGAGCGACCCGTTCCGAGAGGTCATGTTCGTGTTCGATGGACTTGCGTAAGTGATAATTTCCTAATTGCGATTAGCTATACTGATACTTTACAGTCATGTGGAGAGTCACTTTATGATGACTTCATTGAGCAACGACCGAATGCAGCCCGACTTCTAGAAGCCTACTTGAACCGTCCGAGAGTGCACACTTACCAAAGCCCCGCCAGCCAGAGCAGTACAGTGTCATCCGTGTCCTCTATCTTCGACTCTTCTAGTCGAGCTTCAACCCTGGCGACGCCATCATCTACATATGGTGGATCTGCTCCATGGTCTAGAGGCAGTGATCCATCAAAGTACAACCCGTCCCGTGTGCGAGCCGACAGTGCATTCAGTGTTCGCATGCCCAATTATGCCGAAGAATCGTGGCTTCTCACCTGCGCAAACGAGGGGCGTCTTACGCCCAAGATTGTGCATCTCGACGTCAACGAAGGCCGGATAAGAAGCGATAAAGACTTAGCACTCTCCCTACGAGAGCACTACGACCAGCTACATCGCCGATGGTACGACTGGACACGATTGCGTGGACTAACGACCATCGAATTTGTACAGTTCGAAGTTCATCGTAATCGATTTGCTGATATTCGGGCCGCGCCATCTATGCCTCCGAAATCTGCGACGTCTTCAGTGTCTGCAGCTGGAGGCCCAGAGAAATCTCAGGGGGCATCACAGCATCCATATACTTTTGAGCCAAATGACCTTTTACCTCCTGTCGGCAGCACCTACCTCCTTCATCTTTTCAAGCACCCAAACGATTATGACAGCGAGTTGGTAACGTATCTACGTAGTCCGAAGCGGCGTCAGCGGTTAGAGTTCGGCATGGGGTGGGGTGTTCATCTTGTGGAAGGATTCCTGGCCCAACGTGTTTGGGCGTTTACAGTGGGTATTTGTGGCCTGAGTAGTGCAGTGTTTGCCGCTCTGTGGGCGATTATGAAGGAAGATGTGCAAGGTGCATTTGGAGTTGCGCAGTGGGTATTGGGTCTCGCTGTGCTAATGGTCGGTGGCATACAGGCGTGGCTAGAGTAGACTGCAAGTCAACGAAAGTGGCGAAATTGTCGTCGGTAAACCTACACGAGCGAAATTCCCTCAATGGCCTGTCCTTGTATATCTCGCTCTCTCCACCTACATTCAGTTTACCTACTACGAAGATGGCTACTTAATTATCAGAAACATTACGCCGAACAAGTAGTGCTTCTGTGTTAACGGTAAGGATACTCCAATATTGCGTCCGCTGTGCATGCCGCCCATGGGTGCTTGCGGGAATGACGAAGTTGTGCAAGGCTCCCCCCTTCCTTTCCCCCCCTTGCAAATGCGTCTTCAGGTCTAAAGGCTCGCGACGTCAACGTTATCTTCTCTCTGGCATGGCGTCATGACACAAGGGACGGAAACCTGGCATCCCTTATGGCGACTGAATGAAGAAGGTAATAAGAGATTTCAGCATGTGATTCATCATGACTAGGCTTGGAGGATACTGTAGTGTAAGTAGAGCTCTAGGCATGTGTCTCCATTTTTTTTGTGAAAGCTTTGGTCTTGGTAGGCGGGGGATCACTGATTGCTGCCATACTCAACTCTCGCTCGTTTCGAAAACTATATTGGAGACGTCTACAAACGGCGCCCCAGCGGCTGAAAGCCGGCTAAAGAGACCGAGAACAAGCAACGCATGAACGGCGGCGGCGCAGCACCGGCGATGCTGTCTGGGATTCGAGAGTGTAATCACTGACTGAATCCCCGGCACCGCGTCCAACTCCAATTTCACCGACGATGTTTCGACTGGTCAGTTGTATGCGGGCCATTCTTAACAAAGAAGTTGTCGCCGGTGCACTAGTATTGGGCAAAGAAAAATCCACTGTTTCATGTTTGAAACAATACTGTTGGCAAAGTAAGCGAGCGAGGTCAGGAACAGAGCGGCACAGCTGTGGGGCAGTAGGATTGTCTTCATTGTCAGGGGTGCATGGCCCGTTGCGCACGCGCTGTTCGAGGCGCTTCTATGTCAGTACACTACACACAACGGCCGACTACCTATTTACACTTAGGCTTTGCATTGGGCATGACGCGTATGTTTGGAGCACGCAATGCAATGGTCAAACCAAAGCCAAAGCTTGGAGAGCAGTAATCTTACTGTACTCCTCCAGACCAAACAGTTGCTCATGTTTGTGACGGAACGTTCCGGCGAATGCATGAACACCAAGTCTCCCGTTCATCGATGTCAAGATGCCAGGCACATCAGGTAGCGCCACCGACGGACGCCACGATCAATGCCTCCCTGCCCGGCATCTCCTTTGGCACCAGTAAACAAGCGCTTGACTAACGCCCATATGCACGGGCAAAACACTGGCTACATTGTGGCTACCCAGCTTTCATGCCGCCAGGTTAGACCCGCTCGCTTGAGACCAGAACTACCAATTCTCCGGGCCACCCGACTCATCCCTATGCATGTTAATCATATCATCCACACAGTATGATGGCATAACCATGCGCTGCCGTTCCACAGCTGCGTCTTGCCGCTTGTGCGTGGAGTCCTGTGCATCCTGCCAATGTCGCTTGTCAGGCTCAAAATGGAAATATGGCGATCAAAACAATATCAGGTGGAGGCTCTGTTTAGTCGTTTTGGCTTGGTGCCATTGTGCCGGGCATTCTTCCACGAGTCACCCATGCCATGCATGCCGTGGGTTCCAGGCCACCAAGTACCAGATCTCAACGGAATAAATAGAGCCCTGAGGTTCCCCCATGGCAAGGTACCTTCATCGCTACAGCTTCAATTTGTTGGTTTCTATACCCGTCCCTTCTTTCCTGCACATTCGTTCATCAAGTCCGCTCACTGTGTGAAGCCGGCAGACATTCTTTCATTCCCATCGATCATTCACTTCCATCGAACACCTTGAACCTTCCACAGATCATTCTCAATCTACCACAATGTACAAGTCTCTCGTCTCCACCATCACTGCCATCGCGGCTCTTGCTGCTACCGCCACTGCCCACGGCTCCCTCACCGGTGTCAGCCTCAATGGCGTCTACGAGCAGGGCTTTCTTCTCGAATACTACTATGCCATGCAGCAAGGCGGCAAGGTCCCTGAGCACCTTGGCTGGTATGCCGAGAACCTCGACAACGGCTTCGTAGAACCATCCAAGTTCGGCACTGGCGACATCATCTGCCACAAGGCCGGTAGCCCCAAGGGTAGCTCGGACACAATGGGCAAAATCCCTGCCGGTGGCAAGATCGACTTCCACTGGAACACCTGGCCCGCGTCCCACGTTGGTCCTGTCCTCACCTACGCTGCTTCCTACACTGGCGACCTCCAGTCCGTCAAGAAGGAGGAGCTCAAGTGGTTCAAGATTGAGGGTGTCGGTTACGAGAACGGCGAGTGGGCTGCCGTCAAGATGATTGCCAACAACAACACCTGGACCACCACTGTCCCTACATCCCTTGCCGCTGGCAAGTACGTCTTCCGCCACGAGATCATCGCCCTCCACGCTGCTGGCCAGGAGAACGGTGCCCAGAACTACCCCCAGTGCGTCAACATTGAGGTTACCGGCAGCGGTACCGAGAAGCCCGAGGGTGTTGTTGGCACTAAGCTTTACACCTCCACCGACCCCGGTATCAAGTTCGACGTCTACCAAGGCAAGCTCGACAGCTACGTTGTCCCCGGTCCTCCCGCCATGGCCGCTGGCTCTGGCTCTGGCTCTGGCTCTGGCTCTGGCTCTGGCTCTGGCTCCGGCACCGCCCCTGCTCCCACCAAGCCTTCCCCCTCCAGCGCTCCTTCTACTCCCTCCCCAACCCCATCTGCTTCTGCTGCCCCCGTCACTCCTGAGGCTCAGGAGCCCGCTCCTTCCAGCGGTAACCTCCCCGAGACCTTCACCCTCGAGACCTTCATCACCTGGCTCGAGGGCAAGGCCAGCAGCTCTGCTAGCAAGGCCCGCCGCCACGCTCGTGCTTTCTTGTAAGTAATGTTCATGATGGCTTGATAAGCCATTCCTCACGGCGATGAGATGACGTGATGGAATTCTTTTGAGGTTCGTTCGTTCGTTGGATACGACGAGTGCCTTCGATTCTTTGTGTATAGTACATACCCCCTTTTTTTGTAGCGTAGCGCTCTGAACATATACCTTTTGACCATCGAGATTCTTTTTGCGATATGCATGTGACTGTGACTGCAACTGTACTTTGTGTATTTTTTGGGGAAGAACTAGAGTATACGGCCAAGTGCGCTTGCGATTGAGATGGAACCTAGCACTCGTCGAGGATTGAAGACAACATCACGACAGCATGAAGATTGCTTTGACATGTAGAGGATGAGAAGTATCATTAGGAAGTCGAAGCTCGTTTTGGTAACGCTGCCGAGCTCCCAGCATGACGGCATTATCCATGCTCGTCGAAGACACAGAACACTACTGTCCCACCCAGACGTCCTTATACATGCATGTAAGACGCAAACGAAACCCCTAGCCAAGCGCAATTCGGTACCAGGTAGTAAACAAGAAAGAAGAAAGAAAAGCCGCCATAGCGCTGAAGCCGCAGGGTATAACCCTCTCCTCAACCCTTCTTGTTCTTATTAACAAGCTCCCAGAACTCAGCGTCAAGCCTTTTCTCCTCGGCCACGGCCTCTTCAAGCAGGCGTGCCCGCCTTCCCACCTCGAGCTGCATCTTGATGACCTCGTCTAGCGTTTGGCGCTCTCGCTCGCAGGTGATGTAGAGCATGGCCAAGTTGACTTCGGGATCGAGGTCCACGTAGGGCTTGTACTCCCTCTTAAGGCACATGCGGTAGTGCTTGTGGCTGGCGTCGATGAAAACCTTGGATCTGGAGGCCACCTTGTTGTGGATGATTTCCAGTCTCTTGAGGATCTGCTGCTTGCGGCCTTCATGGTCTTGACTCGTGGTGTAGGTGGGAGTTGCAGTGCCTGGAGGCGTGGCTGCAGTTGGTGTAGCTGGTAATGGTACAGCGGGTTGAGAAGTCTTTGTGGACTTCATAGCTGTGGGAGGTAGTCTTGTGGGAGGCGGGCTTTTTGATGTGCTTTTTGCCTTTTGTAGTGGTGGGTGAGGTAAAGTGCGTGGAGAGGGAGGTAACAGCGGATGTGAAGGGTAATCAGCACGTCTGACTAGCACTCGCAAACGCTTTTTGCACTCATTTTTTAGCCTAGTAAAGGACCAGTGAACGTGACAGGTTAAGACTAGGCACTGGGAGATATCCAGGAATCATGTGGACCCCAACTCCTCTGTTTGAGTGGCACTTCTCCGTGTGCATAGCATTCCTTTTGGTCTTTCTGTGCTGTTACTACGGCTTGATTCGGCCGATGCATCATTTGGAACTGATTTATACTGCTCACGAAGCCCTATAGAGAATGCTTGCGAGGACAAAGTCTTCTGGTTCAGCACAGCGGATATTAGGGCATGTGAAGCGCTCTAGATATCTCCATGCCAACAGTGACATCTGATTCTTGAATACTTACTTCCCATTGTACTTCGCTCATTGTATGTACTTGTGTTTTTTCAAAGCTGCATAGGGCACTGCAGGTTCACGCATGCCGTTGCATGGTGCGCGTTGATCTTCTGTAATACTTATCAGTTGTGGTAGTACAGTGAGAATGGCTCTCATTGCTCAGTTCGAAGTCTGGAAGGGTTATTGTCAGTGTAGCGGTGAGGCGAATAAGGGTTTGAATACCAGTATCTCGCTGAATATCTGGGGGGGGGGGGGGCGGTGGAAGAACTGACATCCAAGCTGCTCAAGTTCTGAAACGGGTCGGGCTTTTGGAAGTGATTTTGAGGATTCCACGCCAAAACAAAGCGCTGCGTGTGCTGAGATTGGCGTTGTGTGATCCAATTAGATAGCTAAGATGCAGCCAAGGGAAAAAAACAACAAAAAAGCTTGGATACAATCAAAAGAGCACTCCGCGAAATTATGTGGACGACAGCTGTCGACTTCACGGCGAGCACTTGCGATTGTTCTGCGTTTGGCTGCTTCTGAATTGCTGTGTAAGTGCCGGCACTCACCCCTGCTCACTGGAATGGCATCATCAAGGCCACCAACACCAGCCCATGCCGGCGATGAAATGGAGATACAGCAAAAATGAGATATGTCCAAATTTTGTTGTAGTTGCCTGTAACTTCAATGTGCACGTAGATGCCGCGGCTCTCTGCACCCCTGACAGAAGATGCGCGCTAAGATACGAGCGGATAAGATGTTCAGTCAGGCAGGTGACGCCATTCGAGCCGAAACAGCGCGATAGCTTGCTGGGTGGAGTTAGCCTTATCATCTCCAAAACCTCTGGTTAGGTATTGAAGACTCATCGTTTCTTGTATACAAAGCTCCTGGCGAGCAATGAAAAGCTAACAGCCATGGCCGACGAAAGAAGTCCATTGATTCAACGCGTCGATGTGCGCCCCCATCGCGACCGTTACCCGCACCATCGCCTTCGATTCTTCTGCACTACCTTCCTGAGCGCTACGATAATCGCTGGTGGACTTGCTGCCATCTTCTTTTTCGCCATTGCGCCTCCTACCCAAGACGACGAAGCTTCTGTATTACGAGCATCGGCATTCCTGCCCTCGTCTGCTTCACTGGTCCCTGAAGAATGGGCACGCAAAACGGCACTAGACTTTGACAACCTACAAAAGACTTTGCTTGAGACACCAAGTGCAGAGAAGGCGGAATACTGGAGCAGGTACTATACCGGCGGGTCACATCTTGCCGGAAAGAACTTTAGCCAGGCACTATGGACAAGAGAACGATGGGAGGAGTGGGGAGTTGCTAGCACCATCGTTGACTATGAAGTGTACATTAACTATCCAAAAGGTCACCGGTTGGCTCTGATGAAAAGGATTGGAGCCGGGCACGAGAAAAATGATATTTCCGCTAGTTCAGAGGATGCATGGAAGGTTACCTATGAAGCGCGGTTGGAAGAAGATGTCCTGGACGAGGACAAGTCTAGCCAACTTGCAGACCGAGTACCCACCTTCCACGGATATAGCGCTTCAGGGAATGTCACGGCTCCATATGTCTTCGTCAACTATGGCACATACAAGGATTTTGAGGAGCTCAGGGCAGCAAACGTCAGTCTGGAAGGCAAGATTGCGTTGGCAAAGTATGGCGGGGTCTTTCGTGGCCTGAAGGTCAAGCGTGCCCAGGAACTAGGTATGGTTGGCGTGGTCATGTACAGCGATCCTGGTGATGATGGTGAGGTCACCGAGAAGAACGGCGTCGCATGTTATCCAGACGGTCCAGCCAGAGAGCCTAGCAGTGTCCAGCGAGGAAGCGTACAGTTCCTGAGTAAGTTGAGCCTTATCCTTCCAGTGCTTTGCTAATATTGTATCCCCCTTTAGGTTTCGCACCAGGTGACCCAACTACTCCTGGCTACCCTTCAAAGCCTGGTTGTCCTCGCCAGCCCGTCGATCATGCTATGCCACGTATTCCATCTCTGCCTATCTCCTACCTCGACGCCCTTCCTCTCCTCAAAGCTCTCAATGGACATGGTCCAAAAGCATCATCTTTCAACGAGCATTGGCACGGTGGTGGCTTGGACTACAAGGGCGTGGAGTACAATATTGGACCGTCTCCAGATGACGTTGTCTTGAATCTCGTTAACGAACAGGATTACATTACAACACCGCTGTGGAATGTGATTGGAGTTATCAACGGCACGATCAAAGACGAAGTCATTGTCTTGGGAAATCATCGGGATGCGTGGATTGCCGGAGGCGCAGGGGACCCTAATAGCGGCTCTGCAGCTCTGAATGAAGTGATCCGAAGCTTCAGTGCTGCGATGGAATCTGGATGGAAGCCGTGGAGAACCATCGTGTTCGCGAGCTGGGATGGCGAAGAGTACGGTTTGGTCGGAAGTACGGAGTGGGTGGAGGAATACTTGCCCTGGCTTTCTGCCTCGGCTGTCGCATACCTCAACGTCGACGTTGGTACAAATGGGCCAGACTTCAAGCTTTCAGCTGCACCGTTGTTGAGCAGGGTAGTTGAGGAAACCAGTAAGTGCACATTGATGCTCCATTGATCGGACATGGCTAATTCAACCTAGTTCAAATAGTTGCCTCTCCTAACCAGACCGTACCTGGCCAGTCAGTATACAACGTATGGGATAAGAAGATCGACACAATGGGATCCGGCAGCGACTTCACGGCCTTTCAAGACTTTGCTGGTATCCCGTCGATTGATATGGGCTTTGGCTTTGACGCCAAGTCTGCAGTCTACCACTACCACAGCAACTACGACTCTTTCGACTGGATGAAAAAGTACGGCGATCCTGATTTTGAATACCATGCTACTATATCAAAGATCTGGGCACTCGTAGCAGCCAAACTCGTTGACTCGCCTGTTCTTCAGTTGAATGCTACAGACTACGCGCTCGGCCTGAGCAAGTACGTCCAAGCCGCCAAACATACAGCACAGGTGGCTTCTCCAGATAAGACATCATTCGAAAGCTGGCAACCTCTTGATGACGCGGTATCCCATTTTCTTGAAGCCTCTGCAGCTCACGAGGAAAGAGCTGCCGATCTTGAACTTCAGTACTCCCTCATCGACAATATCCCCTGGTGGCAGCCCTGGAAGAAGCTCCAACTCTTTGTTGCTATTCGCGCAGTCAACAATAAGTACAAATACTTGGAACGCAAGTTCTTATTTCCCGAGGGACTTGATGGACGAAGCTGGTTCAAGCATGTGGTCTTTGCACCAGGCAAGTGGACTGGCTACTCCGGTGCGACCTTTCCTGGTATTGTGGAAGCCATTGGAGAGGGTGATGAGGCGGCTACCAAACGCTGGGTTGGCATCGTTACCAAGGCCATCGACAGTGCTGCGGATTGGTTGGAAAAGGACGATTGGGCATGAAGCTATTTGCTTGTATATGGGTGAAGCAGTGTACGAAGTGATAGGTACATTGCCTTCATAGTGATATCCCCGGTAGTTGCAGAAGGAATTTGAATCACGCAGTCATGTAGCACGTTGTATTGGTTCAACACAAGAGATTATATATTAAGTAGTTATACTCAAGAAACAGAAAACCAGAATTTAAAGCCAATCTTTTCTTAGTCACTATTTCTTCTCCTTTGTCCTGCTTGCCAACTGACAATGGTGGGGCCCTGTGACCCGTGGAGAAGATCCGACATTTGGTGCAGATGTGGCTTAGAAAAGATTTAAGCGGGTGGGGTGGGTATAAGGCGGAGAAGCAGGGACTGGCGGACTATATATCGATGAAGGAGGGGTATGGCAGAAGTTCAGTTAGGGAGGTTGCTCGGGCTTTTGAGCGATGCGGCGGCAGTAAAGAGGGCTTAACTAAATGTACGTCGTTAGCTTCTTGTTTTTGTCCACATATAAAGTTGAAAATAATGGATAGAAATGTCATCGCTTTGTCTTTACTGCAGGATAATAATCTTAATCGCTGCAGTACAGTTAAAAGTGATGATACCCCTCTGCCCGTACATTCGAACTCTGTACTCAAGAAATATGAGAGCGGGTTATAGAACGTAGGATAGAAAAGGTATTTGCTCTTGCGACTCTGTGTGCCACTGTGCTTATAGGAGAAGCATGAGGATAGAGCGGGAAAGTCGCAATGAATGTGGAGATGGGGAGGGAGATAGCGAAAAGCTAGACGTACCTGGGAATGACTCCGGTGATGTGCGTCGCTGGAGCCCAATCATTGCTGTATTTGCCAGCACCTTTGGTTTACAACCAAGCCTTTGCTGGCCATCGCCGTGGAGCCATGTCTTGGGCCAGAGATAGGCGCTCTTGTTGCTCAGCCTTTGGTGGTAGTCAGTAAGCTTACGGTGGTTTTATCTCCAAGTCACGTGTGGGATAGACTTACAGGACTCAGGGTACTCCACCACTGGTAGAAGTTTCGTTCCCGCTCCCTAGCAGCTTCCATGTCAACATGAGCCCGAAGATATACATGAAACTCGTAATGGTAAGCGTCCATATGTCGCTGGACGATGGCGAGGTCCGAAGTGCCGTCCTCCATTAAGGAAGTGATGATGCGTGCTCTCTCGGCGAGGCTGGCAAAGATTCTATCGGCGTCTTCCCGGAGTTCTCTTGCCAATCCCATTGGTATGATGCGAAATGGCGGTGGAGGGGAATCAGGGCGAGGTGAAGAGGGTGTACCACTTGGAGGAGGTGGAGGATTCCTCGTAAGTGGAGGTGGAGCAGCCCGTGATGGCTGCAAGTTGCCTCGACGACCAACAGGACGGCCTGTTCCTCGAATGTTGGAATGGTTAGTGGGCATTTGGATAGGAATTTTTTATAAAGTTTGTGTGTTAGGTGTATTGTTTGGTGTCAATATCAAGGTATATTGCACCAGTGCGCAAGGTGCGTTTGCTCCAGAGCCGGCGACCACCACGCAACGCCCCACTTTTCAGGTCACTGTCTGACTACTCACTATAAAAACCCCCTCACTCACTTTCTATGAGCTCTCCTACACTCAAATCCAACCCTCTGTGAGGCTCAACAATGGCACTCTATCCCCCTCTTTCTCCCATACCAAGCTGAGTTTACCCCTTACCATCTCTCTCCCACATCAACACCGCGTCCGATGATGATTGTCTTTACGACAGTTGTAGTTATTGACTTATCCATGATAACGATACTTTTGTATCACGAGCACTCGACTGAGGACAGCTCACTGACTCATAGATACACCAGGCGCCTCTTCTGTACATGACTGACGCCCTGCAGGTTTGCCAGGTCTCTGAGAGACATACAAACTCAAACATTGACTGAGGAATATCACCAAAACAACAATCAATACCCCGCATGGTAACATCAAGCTGAGTCTTCCTTTACTCCCCTCACTGCTTACACATGGGAGCGGCCTATCAGCATTCTGTGATGAACGGATAAATTGTAGTTTTCAACGCAGACTTCAAATGAAGATAACATTGCTTCTTCTGAGAGTGCTATAAGTGAGGTTTACTCACTTATTTGCTTTGCTTACTCGCTTTCATTTTTCTCCTTTCAGTCACTGACACACTCCAGGTTTCCTCAGCCAATCTCGAATCACGACAGCTGTCGCGCAGCAGCGATACTTATCGCTAGGATATATGTGAGATTCTGACGCAAATCTTTGTTCTTTGTGTTTGGCTATCTGATTAAGCAGAGATATGGTATTTCAATTACCGCCGTCTCCAAGAACAGTGGCCTAGATCAATATCCCATCTCGAAACGAAGGCGACATGCTCTCACGTTATGGCCTCCGAGAAAAGCATGGGTACATTCATACATAGATCAATGGTAATGTGTTTTCTACTCTACTTTTCAGCGCTACGACTTATCGCGTGTGGAGATTTGCGTGAGTGTGCGTACAATTTGACAAACAAGCGCGCTGAGAGCTCAGCTGAATACTGCAACAAAAGAGTGAACAGCATAGGTGGACACAAATGGAAGCGGCAAGAGATATAAGCAGTACAATATTTTGCGCTCTGCGCTTAGGTGTTATGATTTTTAGACCCGATCTATACCCTAATTCGCTCGCTGTAAAGAAAATAAGCTTACGGTCGTGCCGGTATGCGCTGTTGAGAAACCTATACACATCCCAGTATCGCCTCTCTGGCATGGGGCTCAAGGAGGTGACCTATCTATGCTAATCAAAAGCTCCACTGTTTCTATCACAGCCTTTGTACCTATGCCAGCCGTCCTGCATCTGCTCGAACATTCGTGCCGAGAGTTGCGCCAGCCATGTGGGTTGACAGCATCATGGCATCAAGCTTCAGCCTCATACTGAACATTTTTTTTCCTCTAGATACGCCTGTTTCCTTGTATCCTAAACTCCTGGGCTTATGCATTGTATTCGTGCAGAGTATGCGTGGGTGTAGCGCTCGATATTTCATTTTATCCATCATGATCGTCGAAGTCGGTTGGGGGGCGTGGGCTCGCAAAGAAGGGTTACGGTTGATATTCAGGTCTCTCTACAGTATCGCTCTGTCCGTATTATCAGAAACAAACAGAAGAACTCAAAAAGGGGTGTGCTGCTGATGGGAATGCCGTAACAACCAGTAAACAGAGAGGGTGTGAAAAGGTAGCTGACCTGGAAACCCGTAAGGCTAATGAAACACCAGAAGCAGATATCGAATAGGATCCCAAAAACCTCAACACAAGGAATTTTGGACTTTGATACTTGTTGCCTGATTGCAGCGCTGGGAGTCGTACCTTGTAGTACTGCTACCACCGCAGCAAGCTGTGCCAAGACCTGGCATCAAAGCCTCACCAGTCCGCCTTCTATACAGACAGAGATCAAACTATCACAATATCAAAGGTACAACACAGTATCAGAAGTACTCTGAGTGAATACAAGATGGCTGCTAAGCATAGGTGAGTACTGATCAATACAGGGTACTCAAGTGTCTCAACTTGAAACTCTGGAAGTCAGCCTATACAAGCGCGTATTCGCACCGCTACTACAAAAGACTCCCCTGTTCTCTTCTTCATTCGAAAAAGGAGACTTAGGAGCAGAGGTCCATCTTAAAGTAGTTTTCTGCCCGATGCATGCTACCGCGAAGCTGGTTGTGGCATTACTAAGAAGCATCCTTCTGACTAAGGTTTGTTTCCATAGTAATACCGGTATATCAAGAGACACTTCAAGCTGCAAGATCTAACAGAGGCCTAGGAAAAGCCTCAATAGGCGTACTTTCCCGATACCATGAAAGAAACTCATGGCCCCGAGCCTGTCCCGCGATTACTTCTCGATCGAGCCGCGGACGATACACTGCCAGCGACCTATCAGGCGACATATGACAACCACATAAAGATTCAGATGTCAAAATGAATCAGAGGAAGCCCTGTCAGCGGCATGGCATAGGAAACTTGGAGGAAGCGATTGCGACGAGTCGGCTGATGTCACTGCATGTTTGAGCAAGCATGAGGACGTGTAAGCATAATAGAACTGCATGGACAAGCAGCTGATGGCATGTGCTAGAACCAAGAAATTCGTGCGCCCGAGGGCATGTCGTCATTCTGCGACAGCAAGCATGGTTGGCACCAGGGAAAGCATCCTACTGGAGTGTAGTAACGCAACCAAGGCGAGCGCAAAGATACAACGAGCAGGGCTAGTCTTTCTGGCATAAGGGTATACCAAAAAACAGTGTGGGGCCACTGTATTTGGCAAACCAAAAGACGGTGCTATTGCGCGCAATAGCAAAAGAGATACCTCCCCGCTGTGTAATCCAAGTTAGGCATTTGGCGATGAAGGGGCATGCGAGAGATGGAAATCCAAACTGGGGATCGAGAAAGAAACTGCGAAGGGCAAGAAAGAAAAGTATTTCCTCAAATCGTGTGTGTGTGCACACACACACAAGAAAAGATGCAAAGCTGACGAGAACGTAGGGAGATATGGGTATCTCTTCTTCCAGACCAACCGCGCTCCATCTTCCCCATAATTACTACCACGCTCTTATAGACCCCCTACATCTCTCCTCGTCCACCTTTCGATCCGCATCTTACCGCCCTTCGACCCGCCATCTGCCCTGATACAGCCAAAACCTACACGGCGCGGACCCAGCGGCTCCTTTCCACCCCACATCACAACATACAAAAGAGCAATCTCAGGGCCTGCAAGAGGATAAGAATGTCTGTAGTTATGATACTAGCAAAGTCCCTTGTGCTGGGATCGCTGAAGGGTAGAAGGCGTGGATCTGAACGCTTTTCGGAGTTGATGTAAGGAGAGACCGGGACATTCCTTTGAGGGGGCTAAGATGCGGGAACGACAAATAGATTTGGGGAGAATACTGGGTGTTCAGAAAGAAGGAGGCAGCGACAGAAGAGGATAGGAGGGGGTAGTGACGGGAAAGGGGATTTACGGCATTGAAGGACAGGGGAACGGGCCATACAAGGGGGATAGGGTCAGAGGAAATAGGCAGATGGAAACAGATTGGAGAAGGAGGAGACTGATACAGAGAAGGAGTCTCGCCTGCAGAAAGACAGAGTTGGTATGCAGGATCATATGTGACTTGGGTGCGGTTTTTTTGGCTTACCTTTGCACGAGGGCAAGAGCTTTCATCTGTTGAATTCATTGGTTTGACCCGTGCTGTAATATTTAGTTACTCTGAACGTTAGTGTCCCTATGGGTAGCTATAGAAGTTTCTGTGTATCTGCTAGAAGCCTTTGCCACGACTTCCTTCTATGGCTTTTAGTGTACATTAGTTGCATGACCTTACCTCATCACTGAGACCACATATAGGCTTCCTACGGGACGAACACTATGCCGTCACAGGCGTCTGCATTAATGGTGCCTTGTTCGAAAAGCATGATAACAGAATGGGTGTGGCTGCTGTGATTTCAACGAGCCGCATATACATCAGCTTGCGAACTCATACAGAGTACAGCCCTGTCGTAAGTACAAGGAGCCGCTCTAACAGCATATAGCTGCTATTAATTGATACTGTTTGACAAAGTTCAGGCCAAACATACTTTTACCTCTGTGTCTACTTCAGCAAGAGGAAGTTGCCTCTTTCTTGTACTGGCGACATGTCTGGAATCATATTATCATGATGGTAGCTGCATAATAAGCATCAGGAATCTTGTACGAGCGCTAGCTTTAAGTGTCGACTGGAAAACAGAATCATATCATGCGTATGAAAGTTAGAGACTGTTCTGGAAGTCTCTTAGGCTTTTCAGTTCAAATGTTCATCGGGATGTGAGAATTATATCTCGGTTCCTGATTGTCGCAATGTATCGGCGCTATGGCTTCTGACAGACGCGAAGATGAGCCTTCCGCATCACATCTCACTGTAGAGCACGCAGGAGCAACTCTTTCGTCGCTGGTAACTGACATGAGAGACAAGACCATCTTGCACTCACATCAGCCCTGTCTGTGACACGTGGCCAAGTATCTGAACAGCAGAGTTGGTCTTGCACTCCTCCTAAAGCATCACTGTTCCTGCGAACAAAGAGCGTTGGACAGGCCTCACAGGCCGTCTTGTGATGAATATGGCGTTTCTGGCACGACTGCCTGGCCAAGTGCTTCTCTTTCCGCTAGGAGGGCCCGTAACTTTGACAGTCACTCTCGGCACCATCTTCTCGTTCTCATGACAAGAGCACTATTGTAAGGCGCTCTCTCAGTCGTGATGGCCCGTGCGACATAAGAGGTTATCCATGAGGGTAAAACTTGTTTGCCGCCCTGTCTTCCGACCTCCAACAAAACCGTCAGGCCTCGTACAACTGTCCATGTATCGATCTTCCCTTTATCTCTGATACTACTAAGACGAAATTGCACTCCCGATACCGCTATGATGA